TTAGCTATAAAGAGGATATTTAAAAATAGATTTCAATTTACCAATACAGAACTAAAGAAGATTCTACAGAACCTTTATTATTATAGAAGAAATGTGTATACTGTCTTATTAAATTCTTTAAAGTCTAAAGTAAATAAGCAAAGAACTGATATAAATAGTAGACGAAAAGATATAAGTATTGAAAAATAACTTTATTTATAATCAATTTTGTGACATTTAGTAGAACTTTAACCAACTAATTGATTATATATATTAATTTTATTATATTATTATTTTAATTTATTACATATTATTTTAATTTTATTTATTATATTAATTTTATCATAAAGAAAAAGGATCAAAGAAAAAGAGGCTACAATATATGATAGACACAAACAATCAAATTATGGCAGATATACAGCCTTCAATAAAATAGGAAAGATGCAAAAAAAAATTATTAGTAATTCTATTTATTATTCAGATGAAGTTTCTGAATCAAATGATGAAAAAGGTAATGTATTTTTATTATATATAATCACCAATATTTTATTATTTAAGTATTAATTGTTTTCTCTTCTAGCATAAGAAGAAAAAGATAAGAAAATTCTTCCACTAAAAAATGAAAATTCAAATCATATCATACATGTATATGACAATAAGTAGAGATTGCAAAAAGTAAAATGAAAATAATTTTAGTATTTAATATATTAATTATATATATTAATAAATATTACAATTATTATCAAGATTAAACAGCTTTTACAATATACAGATTCAATTGGTGAAATTATTCAGAATATCAAGATTATTAGAAAAATATGTATGATGATAATACATATGTAGTAAAGATGCCAGCCAAAACTCCCTCAAAATAATTTCGTTATATCTCTTACTATATTTTTAATATAGTTTCAGCTAATTTCAGGTTTCAGGTTTCGTCGTACCCCTCACTATGTTTTAATATAATTTCGGCTGTTTATTAATTGCTTTTTTTGAGTTTCGTTTCTCATCTTTAATATGTAGACAATTCCAATCTACCAAACAATGCTCTAAAATAAATAATTTCATTTTTTTATTGAACTAAATAAAACTATAATAGATATTAAGTAAATTTTTTTTTTTTATAATTATAAATTTATTTTGTTTATATAATACACTGAATTATTAATGATAGTAATTACAAAGTACTATTTTAAATTTTTATTAGATTCATATTCTAAAAAATTTAGCAAACAAATTTTTAAAATTGATAATTTTAATAAAAGTATATAAATTTATTTAAATATAAATTTTTTATTTTTTATATTATATTTAATATATTTTTATTTTTATTTTTAGATTTTAGCAATTATATGTAATAATGTAGCAAATATGAATACAATGCTACAAAAAATTTTTTAAGTTTAAATGAGTAAAATATTGAATTTGATTCATATCATTAACATGTTAGATTTCTTACTTATATTATTAATATAGCTATATAAAAAGTACTTAAAAATCTTTATGCATTAGGATTAGATAATGAAAATGCCTTAAATGAAAAGATTAAAACTGATAAAAATTTATAAAATATTATATATAAAGTAAGTTATATTCTATTATTTAATAAAAAAAAATACTTTTATAATTAATATAATTTTTATTTTCATTATAATTATTAAGTTTAAAAATTAGTAATAAAAATTTGTGTTTCATCTTAACAATGTAAAAGATTTTATCAATAATGTATTATTTTAAATCTTCAAAAATTAAAATTAATTGTAAATATTAAAACCCATTAAATTCTATAGATATAATATTAAAAAATGCTATTCATAATCTGATAAAAAACTTAAAATATATATTTTTTTAAATTATGAATGGAATTATATTAAAGAAATACATGAATTTTTTACAGATTTATAATTTATTTAAAATTTTTTATTTAAAAGTATATTATATATATATTAATTATATTTAGCATTTTAAAAAAGGATCAGATTTAATTACTGGTCAATTATATTCTACATTTTCATATAGTATTCCAGTTTATAATTATTTAATAAATAAATTTGAAGATACAATTATTAATAATAATAATAGAACTGAAATTAAAAATTTAGCAAAATTAACAAGAGATAAAATTTTAGAATATTATTTATTAATAGATAGATATATTTATGTTATTATAGTGAACTCTTAATATAACGAATTCTAGGATCTGGATATCAACTTTGTTATAAGCTTATAATGAATTTTTTAAAGAATTTAATTGGCTAGTTCACTATAGTAAGGTAATTTTAATATATTTGATTTAAAAATTCGCTATATCAAGGGTTCGCTATATCAAGGTTTGACTGTATTACAAATTAGCTAAAATTAGATATTCTTCATTTTTATATAATAATATTAATAATTTTTATTTATAATTAATAGTAATAAATCCAAGGTTATATTATGAAAATAATAATTAGGGATCTTATTATATTAATGAAGCAAAAAAAATTATTATTAATGTTTGAGAAATAAAATACAAAAATATTGTAGATGTTAGTCAATCTTCTGATAATTTAAAAAATAATATTCTTACTCATTTTTTAAAAAAAAAATATATATATTATAGAAATGAGTTTAAATCTTATTTTAGAAATCCAGTAGTATCTAATAAAACTGATATTTTATTATAGTGGAAAGTAAATATTATAAAAAATATTTATTATAATAATTTTTTTTTTTTTGACTTATTAAATTATTATAAAGCTTTATGAAAGAAAATATTTAAATATTTCTAAAATGGCTAAAGATTACTTGACTGTTTCAGATTAATATAAATATTATAATTATAATTTTATAAATTATAATTACTATTAAAAATTTATTATAATTATTATTTTTTAGTTACAAGTACACTTATGAAAGAATTTTTTTTAGGTGAAACAGATTGGGTAGTATAAAAAAAAAATGCAATTTAAATGATGAAATAATTTATAAATGTATATATTTTAAAGGATGATTAAAATCAGATTTATTTTAAAAGAAAGAATAAAATTTATTTTTTAAAAATAATACTTTAGAATAATTTATTTTGTTATAAAGGTTTGTTATGTATTTATTTTTATTTTATGCTTTATATTTATTTTTATTATTTTTAAGATTGTTTAAATTTTTTAATTATTTTTTTGCAAATAAATTAAATTCAATTCATTATATAATTTAAATAAATATAAATTTTATACCTTGCTTTATCTATAAGCCAATTAACATTTAGTAAATGCTTTAGAAATGCTTTTCTTCAAAGATAATAATTCAGAAGTGTATTTTTCAAAGATATATTACAGAAGTGTATTTCTATAAAGAAATTCCTTTAAAAAATATTTCTTTTTAAAGGTAATGCTCTAAAAGCATATTATTTTTTTTTATTATTTATAATAATTTAAATTTTTTTTAATATTTTTATTTTTCATTATCTAGTAATTAGCATTTTTATGAAATATTTTTTTACATTAGTTTATTTTGAAAATAAATAATTAAAGATGAAATAGTTAATAAGTAAATATAGAAATAGATTTTGAAAATATTAAAACATGTTTAATTTACTAAGAAAATTATTAACAAATTAACTATTTTAAATTATAATATAAAAAATTTTGAAAACTTTAAGCTTTTAATTATTTTAATTATTTTAATAATTAATAATTCTTAAATTTATTTAAAAGTTATTTAAAATAATAATATATTTGATTTTTATAATTTTATAATATTAATAATATATTTTAAAACATCATTTTCTTAATAAATTTCTTTTTTTTTGCAAGTGATGTGTAAGCTGAAAGTAAAGTTATATAATATAAGCATATATTTTTCAATGCATAATATCACGACAATTCTCCTAAGGTCTTAATATCAAGGTACTAGAGTTTTAGTGAGGTAACCTCTACTTACAAATTATCACCAGATTGTATCGCTTGTACTGTTGACTAAGATTTGTTTCTAAAATAGACTTTGTATACCTTTTCAGGAAGGCTTTTTGCACAGGTACTTCTAGCAACCTAAGTTCTGTCAAATTTGGATAGAGAGATCACTTCAGGCTATATAGGAACGTCATATCTTATACTTTATTTAACTAATGTCATAGGATTTATAGGATAGTACTACAAGACTTGTCTAAATGGTAAACTAGCGAGATAACTATTGTATTCATTTTGTCAAACAACCTAGAAATTAAATCTGACTTTTAACCCTAATAACAGGTAGATTATATAATGCTGCAGCATGTAATGCAGTCTATTATTACTGTTGATCTAATCTACTAAATTCTAGTTAATTACTTTCTTTACTTATGTAAAACCTCTGCAGGGTAAAACATAAGATTGTATTTATTACAAATTAATCAGTGAAGGTTAAGTTCTGTTGATTTAAGACTTTATTTACATCTAGATGTTCTAACGTTATATAGTATTTAAGCATAATCAACATTGATCAATAGATCAATCAATCAGATTTGTATGCATATTAGTACATACGCCTATTAATTCAGTCACATATAAAATTCTTATGTAAATCATCTAATTTTTATGTATCAACTGATACCTGAACTGATGACCTATTGCTATGTAATCATCTAATTTTTATGTATCAACTAATACCTGAACTGATGACCTATTGCTATGTAATGAAACTTTAGTTTAATAGGAGACTCGTAATTTAACCACTAATCTAAGGATGTTGATCATATTAATAAACTTCTTAGTTAATCATTTATATTATATTATATAAATCTGATCTAAAAATAGATTACTTCAATTTTAAAGTTAAATTTTATTTATTAATTAGTTTAATTTATTTAATAAAGATTTTGTTATTTTCAAAGAAAAGATGAAATGAAAAAAAAAATAATGCTTTTATATCTAAAAATAAGAAATGATTTGCAAATAAATTGAGTAGATATATTTTTAAGATTATCAAACAAATTATCAAGGATTATCTTTATCTGAATCATCTTTATATAAATAAATAAAAATATATTACACTTTTTTTTTAAATTAACTATCAATAACTTCAACAATTAATGGTTGCGTATCAAAATACATTGTTCTTGTATGAACATCTTCACAATGATATAAAAATTTAAAGTCTCCTCTTGAAAAAAAACATATAGGTAAAGTATATATTATTGAAGATTTTGGTGCAATCTATTTTATTAAAAGAAAGATAAATAAAAAATGTTTTTTAACATATTATATTATAAATGAAGTTTTAACTTACCTTTGGTAAAGGAGTTTGTAATAACCCATTCCAAACCATTCTTTTAGACAAATCCCATTCCATTATACCATCACTATAACTTTGTACAGGTTGAATCCGTATACATAATTTACATGATTTATCTATATTAATTTTAAAGAAAAAATATATATTATTTTGGGAATAAATCAATAAATATATATTTAGAAAAGTAAAATAATTTACCTTGATTATTATAAATAACAAATTTCATTCTAACAAATTCATTAACAGGACATTTAAATTGATTACATGATAATTTAGTTACTTTTGATGCATCTTCCATATCAATGCCAAATGATACTTCATTAATTTTTAATACATTTAACATTGATTTATTGAGTCTCAATGATCTAATATCAACTATTCCTTTTTGATTTGTAAATGACTGTTATCAAAATTTTTTAATATTAGTTAAAAACAATATTATAATTATAATATATGTATATTTCTTGGAAATAATGTAAAAAGGATACAGATTCCCATGTAGCTTTGATTTTTTGTAATAACTTTTCTCTATACCAAAATAATGCTAGAGACAATCTTTCTTGTTCGATAGTCCCCTTCGGTCCTTTTGAGACAACAAATTGTTTTTCTAGAAGTGAAGGAATGGGTTGTGTATTTTCTTTCTCTGAAAGTGAAATTCGCTTAATGGGTAATATAATTCTAAAAAAAAATTAAAGCTTCATTAAATTTTTTATTCCACTTCTGATCTTAATCAGATAAAGCTCTAAAATACCTTGCAGTTGAAGCAGGCTGAATCGTTGTAGTAATGGTCAAAGGATCAATATCTTCGCCTAAATATACATCATTCAATCCATTTAACGTTTTCTTAATCAATTTGAATTTTCTTTCAAAAATACATGTACAAACCTTCATCAGTTTCGATAGTAACATCAAATCCAACATGCCAAACATTTCTTATATCAAATGTTAATAAACAATAATCATTTTCCATTTTTTCCATAAAATCTTTCTTTGTACCTTTATTGTTCCACTTCATAACTTTAAGCAAATCTTCGACCATCCCATTCCTTTGATCTTCAATATCACGATTAACTGACTCATAATTTTCTTCTCCATTTAATGGTTTAAAATTAAGTATATCCATTGATATAGTCTCTAAATTTTGATGGATCGTTAATAATACTGGATAAAATACTTGTCTTGTATAAAATGGTTCATCATCTGATATATTTGGCCGATTAAGATATCCATAATCTATTTGTATAGTTCCATTCACGCTTTATTTTTATTTTAATAATAATAATAATAATATTAATATTAATTTCTTATAGTTTGTAGTTAAAATAAATCGAATGATCAATAAATTACCATCCTCTTTTTCCAAATACATTGATATTAACTATACATTCATTCCCTGGTAAGATTTTAACGTTATCTTTTTTATTCCAAGAAAATACTGATTGCTTATGTGCATATAATTCCATTTCATATGCTTCCTCCGCTGGCATATCTGAATTTAATAATGCTTGTGCATTGGCAATCGTTGAATCATTAAATGATAAACTTAAGAAATCAACTGGTGTTTTTCCAACATTCTCAAGTTTTATTGTCATTTCAGTTCTTTAACATATAAGAAAGGGAAAAAGAAAAATTTTTAATGTATCTTGTAAATAAATCAAAATATGTAATATATACTTACTGTTCTCCCTCAAATAACATCATTGCTCCATGCATTAATGACGTAGATTTGATCTTAATTAACGGTTGTTCATTAATAACAGAAACTTTTAAAAATTCCGAAATAAAAGGTTTTTTAATGGGTGAATTCTCATCTTGTTCGTTCGATATTGTAGTATCTGAACATCAAGCACATTAAATAAAATTAATACGTTATAATATAATATTTATTATTGAAAAATATATGAAAAACAAACCTTTTTTATGGTACGAATCTAACGCGGCTAAGCCACTATAAAATGAACCAATACTCATTAAATAACGCTTAATAACGGTCATAAATACTTAATGTTATATCATATACCATTTCTTTATCCTTTTACTATACTCTTCATCTCTTTCTTTCTTTTTAATTTCTTCTTCATTTGGTGGTAAAAATAAACAAAATTCTTGTTCTAAACAACCATGAACTTTTATTTTACATCCCCTAACAATCAATTCTCCAGGCTCGGTTGGTATTCCAGAAATTCTTAATGTTATAGACGTATTAGCTAATATGGTGGTTGAAATTGAATTTGGAGTGAAAGCTATACCATCAGTGCTAAATCGAAAAATAAAATAATTTTTATAAATAAATTATTTATTGTATCATATTTATTATAGGTGTTTCTTTTCAAATTATTGTCTAACCTCACTGATATGTTTTGAATTTCCATATCAAATGCAAAAGGATTTGCTAAGGTAACTAGGAAATATGAAGTTTCATTTGCTATCAAATGTATCTAAAAAAATATATATCTTTTAATAAAATGTATTTATAAAAATATGCCCTTATATTACATACCTGAGCAGTCTCTACTTTCTTTTTATTAAAAGATTGATAAATAAAAGGACTAACTCCTTCTTTCTTCTCCTCATTCTTTAAAGATAATTTCTTGTTAGTATGTGGATAAGGTATCCTCCTTGATGTTGGACTAAATAATTCATGCTTTTAGAAAATTTGAATTTTTATTAAAATAAATTTATTAATTCTCTTCTACGTACCGACACACTTGAATTCCTTTTACAATATTCAGGCCCCAATATTTAAATTCCATATCCAATCCTAATTTTTTACCAGCACCAACGATACGTGGAATTGATGTCGATAAACGAATTTGTTCATCTCTGTGCATATACATGAACAATCTACGCAAGAGTCTTGTTGTATATTTTACCATAGATGGATAATCTTTTAATGAAAACAAATTATTAGATGATTTCTAGAAATTTAAATTCGAGAAAAATTTACCTGGAAGTGCTTCAGAAATCGTTAAAGCATCTTTTATTACATCGATTTGAATATCTGGCCAACCGAATTCGAGCGGTCGTGCATCTTCATCGATCACGGAATAATCTGTTTGGTCAACATCATCTAATCATAAATATATTAACATCAAGCACTCTATTATTGTTATGCCATAACACTATACTGATTACCTCCTACACCATAAATTTCCGCGATTTTCTTCAAACAAGTTAATAATCCACTTTCACTTCCGATCGATGGTTTAGTAATTTGTGGTGACGAATTACGTGATTTAGAAAGAAGTGGTAAAATTAACAAAGCTGTTTGTCGAAGAAAAAATACATGTTTCCGACGAAAATTAATTATTGAAAAGATGGCCGATAACGTAGTAGTTATATGAATCTATTTAAATAACATATATATATATACGTATTTTTTTTAAGACAAAGTTAAATTAATATTTAATGTTAAAAAGTATAAAAAAGAGAAGTAATAAATTTATTAATACCTGTTCAATAATGCTCATCTCTTCTATATAAGATCCATACCCTTTCATAGCCCACCGAGTAACTTCAAATTTCGAAACTCCACTTACGGAACTTAATCCCCATCTCTCGTTTGATCCCTTTTCAGGAGTTCCACCATGAACACTTAGTTTTAATGCATTATCACCCCATCCACCCGTTACCCAAATGCATGCCAAAAATTTTGCAACTTTCAAACAAGCTTCCGTATAAATTAAAGGAGGCACTTGATTATTTGAAGGACCCGAAGTTTTGGCATATAATGTAAGGATATTAACATATTTCTCAGTTATATCTATCCAAAGAGCTTGGGGTGACTCAGGTGATGAAGGAGCTGATGAATCATTTGGACTCGGTGAAGACGGAGGTTGAAGATAATGAGGCTATCATAACATTATCATATAAGTAAACGAATAATTGATATAACAGTAGGATAAACCAAAATCTTACCCCAACGTCTGTATGGAGATAGGCTGCAAGAAGTAATCCAACACATAATCCTTCTAAAGCTGACCCTTGCCATAAATAATCACCATTCGCTTTTGTGGTTTCAATAGCGAGAGAATAACTTTAAAAAAATAGATTTTAGAAATTTTAATACTAAATGGGAGAATCGTATCAATGATCAAATGATACTTTAGTACGATTACTTACTGAGATACAGCATCAGGTAATCTTCCGGCCATTAAAAATAAATCTGCGATTAATTTTTCAATACGACCATTTGCTCTCCTCTTTAATTTAATATCAGCGACTGTATTTGGAACATTAGCAATATTGACGAGTGTTGACGATGAAAATGATCTACTATGGTAGGAATTATCTTTAGGGCTAATATTTGCTGCAGCTCCAACACCACTGGTAGTCATAGCTTGAACAGGGGGTGTAAGTGGGAAAGTTGGAGGTGTTTGAAGTAATTTTAAATCAGGGGCTGAAAATGATTGAAGAGGTGTGGAGTATCGACCATTTATCGATTGAGATTGGGAGAAATTTTGTGATGGAATTTTCGGTGAATGTACAATTGGTCTCCTTTCAATATCGGCAGCCTAAAATGATTTACAGAATCTGGATTAGACAACTGAAATATCACTTCCTCTATATTGAATTAAAATGACATACTAAATTGCCGAATTCGTTAAGAATACTATTTGCAAAATCTGAGATCATTGTGCCCATATAAAAATCTATTTTTCCAACATCAGGAATCATGATTAATCCTTTCGTATCATCAGGTTGATCTTCTGAAGGATCAAATGCAAAGCATCGGTGGGCAACAGCAGTGTGATACTAAAAAAAAAAAAAAAAATAAAGATAAATATGAATGATTCCATAATATCGCGCGATTTATATTTTTGGAATTTTTCCTACATTTTTAATTATCTCGCTAAATTTCTTATACCCTTCCTTTAAATTTGGCCACTCGCGACAATCCATTATACCAATTACCTATAAGAATTAATTAGGATCAATACATAAAAATAAGTTTTGAAATATAAATTTTTATTGATACGTACCCCAAAAATCCTACGATGCATTTGAAATTCTTCAAGATAAGCATGTTCCGGCTCATAAGAAGTTACGAAATTAAAGTGTAGCTGACCTTCATGAAAGAGCTGTGAGCTGAACATGGCTGCAAGTATTTTTATTTATTTATTTATTTTTTTTTTGATTGACACAACATACATCAATGAAACAGTATATATTAATGGTATCTGAAGCAAATAATTCTCTAAATGAAGAATTGTTTATTTCTTTGGCTTGTGTTTGAGGGATAATTGAATTCTTTTCAATGTGAATAGAATCCGATTATCGTTCTCTTATAAACATTAACCAATCGAATCTTCATCTGAATGTTTTAACATTCTAAAAGTTTTCGTTAATTCAAAATTTAAAATGATTACTCACATTGAACACCTCGCATATCCGGAGTTACGTCCCCAAGTCTTACTACATTAAAGTTTTTCACTAATTGAACGTGTTTATGAAAAGTTGTAGCTTTAATAGGATGTACTGGAACGAGTAAGATTCGAATACGAGCAGGAGCAGTAAAAAGAAGGGGGTCCATTTCAAAAATAAAATTGTTCTTGATGTAATTGATGTGAGCAAATAATGTCCTTAAATACTCTACCAAATTTGGATACTTTTCATTTGTTCAGGTTACATTAACGTGTCACTTAAATTTCTCGTACTTTTCGACCAATCAAATAATACCACTTGTTACATAATAAAATTATAAAATGCGGAGACTTTTTTATTTTTAAAAAAGACTTTTTATTCCAAGAAAAATAATGAGAAAATTATTATACTTCAATTTTATCTGTGTAATTTCAATCTTTTTCCTGACTATCTTTGTTTTGCCTTTAGAAGCAAACGAAGAAATATGTAATGGTGGCGAATGTTTTTCAAAAGAATTCGTCGCAACGGAAGAATTCCAAGAAATACGTGAAGGACAAGAAATACCTCCAGGTATGAATTAATCCAAATTTAATTGAAAAAGTTGCAATCAAATTTGCATTAAAACTTTTTCTTTTATTTTATTTAGGTTTGCATGTCAAAATAGACATGAGTACCGGAAAGAAATACGCGAAAATAATTGATCCAAATGATAATGAAATTAATCAATCTTCAGAAGTGATAATGATTGACGAACATGGCAATCAAATAAATCAAGAAAAAAATTTATCCGAAAATATATTAATTACTGACAAATCACAAACCAATAATAAAGATTCCGATTTAAAATTTCATCAAGTTTCTAATGAAAGTATTTTTTCACATCCAATTATTACATCAAAGCATAAAGAGAATGTTCGTATCCCACATTCAGATCATGTTAAATTTGAAACCTATCTTTCAGAATTAGAAGATTCATCATCCATTTCAGTTTTAAATTCAGCTTTGGATGGATTAGAAGAATTAGTTCATGAACTAGATTTTGGAATTAAATTGGCTAGAAGTCAAGGCATAAAAACTATAATTGCACTTTTAAATCATGATTGTGCTCAAATAAAGAAAAAAGCGGCCATTGTTATCGGAACTGCAATGCAGGTGGGCATCAAAAATTAAAAATTGATACCGTTTGAAATTTAATCTAAATTCACGATCAAATTTTTTTTTTTTTTTAGAACAATCCTACGGCACAAAATGATGTAAGCCACCTAAACATTGTGACTCGGATTTTCGAAAATTTGTCAATTGAAAGTGATATAAAAGTCTCGATTCGACTTTTATACGCATTATCAAGTATCGTACGAGGAAACAAAAATGCGATTCAATTCATTAAAGATAGTAATGGATTACAAAGTCTTGTAAATTTATACCAGAATTCATCAAATAATGAATTTCGTGCAAAGTGTGCTTTGTTCGTAACAGATTATATAGATCCAAATATGATAGGAGAAAACACAGGTCTTTTTGAGCAAGGTCAATATTATGACACCATAGATCCATTAACGGATGTTATGGAAAAATGGTGTAGAAATTTTCAAGATACTTTGTTTGATAATACAGGAAATTCAAATAAAGTTGACATCGATTCAAGAGAAAAAATACTCAAAGGAATTTCAATGATTAAAAGTCAATATTCTAGTTCATGTGAATTACAGGATGGATTTAAGAATTGGATAATTAAAGAAGAAATTGAAGCAATAGGAGAAGATTATTTGGAAGATTATTTTAAGCTGATCATTCAAGTTAAAGATCAATTTGGGTTTTGATAAGTTTATCATAATGTTATACAAAATTATTATATTCGTTAATATAAATAACAATAATAGTACAACAAATAAAAAAAATTTTCATATTTGTTTCACAAAATGTGGTTCGATAAAAACAATTTTATCTGTATGTGTTTCGTAGCGAATTTAAATTATGTACCGAATTGGATGAACAAAGTGCACATTAATAAAACACATGTACTGTCCAATATATATAAATAGTGCTTAACTTACCCATCGAAAATTCATCATCCCCTCTCACCATTTTCCAATAGTCACTTTTCTTTCGTTTTCCATCAAATTAAAAAAAGAATACACACATTCCTTCCTTTAAATTATATTCACTTGTTTAACATAACCTCACCTATATATCCTCATTTTAAAATATGAAGTCTTTCACTATTGTCGTATTCATCTCCCTTGTACTTGCTACATTGGCCATTTTGACACCTGTTGAAGCTGACTGGGTTATGAGAAGTAAAAATTAATAATTAGTTATTTATTTGACGTGAGGTATCTTTTAATATTGAATCTTATTTATTTATTTATTTTAGAAAAGAGAGGCATCAAAAGAGCAGAACAAACACCAAAAGCATGCGAAAAATGGGACGAGGAGGTAAATCTTAACGAGAATATGACAATATATTTTTATTTTTAACATTTTTTTCTCGTTGAAATAAAATAGAGCGGTGTCCCATGGCCAGTCAATAACAAAGATGATAATGTCCAAGATATCGCTTGGACTCGAAACTGTATCTCATAATTGCTTTTTCATCCTTATTTCTCCCTTCATTTTTTCTATTGGAAATGAATTTACTTGGTAACAACGTGTATTTTTTTTTTTGAAAGATATATATTTAAATTTTATATCCAGTATAATAATTTTTTAAAGGCACTAAATAAATGTCCCAATTTTTTGATTCAAGTAAACTTGCTGCGCCGTAATAATCGTTTTTTTTTAACTTCGAGGAAATTTTAAATTTGTCTCTTAGTTATGTACTAAAGAAGCTAATAAAACAAAAAAGTGCGAATTTTATATTTCAATTTCGGTGTAACATAACTATAAAGATATATTTTGTATAACAGCCTTAACAGCCTTAACATGGTTAGCCATATTTATTACAAGTTTATTATAAATTTCTCGTCTTGCAAAAATGTAAAAAGCTCAGTTGCTAATCGAGTATGTTTATAAATCCAATTCATCTGTTATTTTTAATGGGATTGATATCTGAGATATATGTATTTATTAGATCGTAATATGTAATATAGTTTTATCTTTTAATTATATAATAAAAAATTTAATGTTACTTAGAAGCTAAAAATTTATAATTTTTAAAAAAAAATTTATATTAAAAATTTCATGATTAATTTATGATAAACTTTTTAGAATTTACTTTTAACTATATTAATCATAATAGAATATTATAAAATTATGAAAAACTTTTATTATAATAATTTATTTATTTCATCATTTGCTAATTGTCAAAAATTAAAGAAACATCCAAAGATTATAGTTTTTATAATTTATTATGACTTTAATTATTGATAAAGTGATTCAATTAGCATACAAATATATAAATTTTTGAATTTCTAAAAAATTATTATAATAAAAATTTTGAAACTTAATTTTAAAAACCTTTTAAAGAACTTAAAATTTTTGTTAATAAAGTTGATAAATATATATATTAAACTATAATTTTTATATAATAATAATATTACTAAAATTAATATTAAAAAAATTAACACATTTTTTAATTTCACAGACAAATTTTCCTACTATAAAGTTGAAGGAATAAATATTTTGTAAGAGCCTTAATTATTATTCCTAATTCATATCAACAGATATAAACTATTTACAATAAAAGCATTCCAAACTATTACCTAAATTAAGTGTCAGAATAAAATATTATACTTTTTTTCTATTAGATAATCTTTAAACATATCTATAATCACTACTTTCATATATAGGGAGTATAAAAAGTATTGGCTAATTTTTAAAAATGCATTATGAAATAACTAATATATAAAATTTATTTTATTTTTTTATTATTTTAAATTACAGATCAATATTTGTTGAAGTAGCAAATATGTTTTTTTTACTAGTATTTCTTAGAAAAAATGTCTCTAAAGCTATAGATGTATTTTTTTACTAGTATTTCTTATCAAAAAAATGTTTCTGAAATAGGGTATTAGGGAATAATATACTCTAAAGTTATACTAAAGATAATCTATTCTAATATTAATTGCTCAAATTACTTTAGAGTGACATTTTAGAGTAATACTCATTAGTCTAAAACATAAGCAAAGAACTATATATTTCTAGATGTATTGACTAAAGATATAAAAAGATATTCTATTATCTATCTGCTTAAAATTAAGTCAATATATGATTAGTTACTTATATTATACTTGCTTCAAATTTAACAACAGTAGAGTAGGTTGCAATATATATATATTGCAATCTACTTGTATTAAATTGTTATCTACTTATGAGTAAATTATTACCTATTTATGAGTAAATTGTTACCTTCTTACAATTATCAGTGCTCTGTGGCCTTTTTATTGCCTTGTAGCTATTTGCTTATTTTCATTGCTTTGTGACCTTTTTATTGTTTTGTAACTATCCAATTGGTATTGACCTCCTATGTCTGAATAGATGTCAAATTCTATTTTGGGGTCATTGGCCTTCTGTAAGTGTTTGAATACCTGGTTTTATATTGAGAGTACTGGCCTTCTGTGCCTGAATAGGTTTTTGATTTTATATTGATATGCTTACCTTTTGCGTTTGCTTGATTGCCTATTCAAATGTCAAATTGTAATAAAAAAATGTGTCAGATAATGCAGTAGATTTGTGATTAATTTTTGTCAGCTCTATGGTATAACTCTGACTGATCTTTTGGGCATGTGATTTGAGAATCCAATTTAGTATCATGATAGCATTGTAATAGTGTCCTGCTTATACATGAAGTTGAAATGAATCATTTCGGATATCTGAAATGGTCGAAATGGTCGAAATCATTTCAACCATTGAAGGCTAAAGTCGCGAAATAGTCAAAATAACATCATATCACATGATTTTCATATTGAGAAAAAACAATAAAACAAAAGATATACAATCTCGGTCAATATCGCACCGATTCGTATGAAACAACTACCATTCGATTCCTTGCGACTTGACGGATCCAATGAGCT